TGCATCTAATACTCCCTGGCTCACCTGCCAGGCCCAGTGAGAATACTGCCACACATTTAAGTATCTGGCAAAATTAGTTGTCTTGAGATGAAAGACTGCCTGGTGAAGTGCAAGTTAAATTCTGCTCCACCAACTGGTGCCTGAATACAACATTTCTCCACATAGCGTTATGCTATGAAAAAAATCCAAATGACAGTATACAAGAGATTTGGTCTCTCTCTAGTTTTCCACTTCTGGTATTACAACTCAGCCAGTATTACTACTCATACATATCTCTAAGAGTGAGAGAACAAAAATAATCTCATTTAATGGTTCACATTCTGGGCTAGACACGGCTTTTTTTAGTGAACTGGTTAATTTTCCTGGAGTCTAGAGATATTAAAAAGTTTGATTTCCCTCAAATACACATCTTTTACCTTTTAGCCTATCCAATTTTAATTCAGGTACTAAAGCAATGAGTAGGATGACGTTCTCATTTTATTACCCCCAGGTTTTCCAAAATTGACTCTTCCTACTCTAATCACTCAATCGCACGTTTCCGGTCACTAACCTCAGAGCAAGACACTTCAAACCCTACCAACCTAACTAAAGTCGGGTACATGCATTACAGACTTTGAAGGAAGGCATGATTTCGGGGCCACCTACATGTAGACGATTAGGCAGACTTCTCAGTGTGACACCCAGACGCGCGAGTTCGCAAGCGCCCGGGCCGACCGCAGGGATACTCACACTCCATGGATACGCTTGTGAATGTTGATGGTGTATTCTCGGGTCACCACCTCGTTGATGGCAGAACGGCCCTTCTTCTTCTCGCCGCCCTTCTTTGCAGGAGCCATCTAAATGCAGGTGACAACAAGGCTCAGAGCACAAATGGGACAAGCCCAAGCCAAGTCCTCCTCCCGGGCTCGGCCTCACGCGGCCGCTCGCGGGGCGCTTCCGGGTGCGGGGAGTCCGGCTAGGCCCCCCGCAGCCCAGGTCTGGGCAAGGCCAAGCTCCCTACCCCGAGGCCCACGCATCCGCACCCCTCAAAGGCCTCCGACCCGGAAACCCCTGCGGCCTCGGCTCCCCTATGCCGGGCCATTCTCCCTCCCAGGCTCCAGGAGTCCTTAAACGCAGCGCAGATTCCCACCTCCCCGGATGGCAGAGCCCCGGGCCGGCTCCGGAGAGACCCCTCGGTCTACGGTAAGCACAATCCCGGGAGAGGATGGAGCCGGATTCCCAAAGCCAGGACACAGACGCGGATACTCACCCTGTGGGGCCCAAGTTAGAAAGGAGGGGCGCGAGGGATTGTGGGAGAGGGAAAGCCGCGATTGCAAGTACAACTTCCGGGTCGCCTGGAGGCGGGAAGAGGGGATGCGGCTAGAGAAGGGGAGAGGCGGGGCCGTGACGTCACGGCGCGC